TTCATTGGAAATTAAACATGTGAAAGGTTTCAAGTGTACATAGTATGTGTTCATGAAAGGGTCAGTTTGTATTTGATTTTGAAGATTTTCATTCTATATATTTAACGACCAAGTTGGCAAGCATCATCTGGCATGATGGTAAGTCTAGTTGACGTGACTCGACGCAACCCCCTATGAAATTCTCTCTTTTTTCTTTCAAACTTTTTAGGGTTTTTTTTTTTTTTTTTTTCATACTAATATATATATATATATTCTCTCCTTTTTCTTTGAAAATTTTTGGGTGAAGAAAACGTTCAAACCCCATAAAAATCTATTGAAATTACAGTTATTACGTCTGATATATAGGTCTTCGTAGGTCATATATGGTTCAAATCTTTTGTACAACAAAAATTTTGGCTTTTGAATTTTGATGAACACTTTTATCTTCAGCTTTTTTTCTTTCCAAAGGACGGAAAGCTAATGAAGTGAGAGACCAAAAAGAGTATCGAGAAAGCCTCAAATAATTATTTAGTCTTCTGCTAAATGGATGCCTAAGCTTAGCTTTATCATGTTCATGATGAAATGAGATGACTGATTACTTGGGAAATAAATTTGTTAATTTTTAATGATTTTTGACAATCTAAAAACATGAAAAGCAATGTTAAAAATTTTTTAAGCTGGTTTGAGTGGATAATTTTATACTCGAGAGCTCTTTCAAGTTCAACTCGACCATTGCTTGATGTAGTAATCAAAATACCAAAAAAAAAAATGTTGACGCAAATACTTGGCTGTGACAGAGTCAACCAGGAGAAAGCAAGCACAGGGCTCGAGAATGAAAGACAGGGACACAATTATTGAGACTTGCACACATCATTCAATCTCCAATTAAAACCCACATCTCTTCTTCTTTTTTTTTTCCTCTGTCTTTCATGTCTTGGCCTTCCCTTTTACCTTTACGTTATACCCATTTTTGGCATTAAGTCCAATTTATTTCACTTTAACGACGGATGGTTTACTCCAATCGAGAGCCGCTCAACTTTTCACTCAATTTGAGGAAATGCCTACTGATCATCATCTGCTACTAAAAGTTAGATGCTATTTCTAATCTCTCTTTTAATGTGTCATTAGATTGTATCTAATCTATTTTTATTTGTTCCAACATGTGTGCTGTGATCCAATCAAATTCAAATTTGATTCTTAATTTTTAAAATGATTTAAGAAATTAAAAGTTTTAACCCATTTGAACTTATATTAAATTAGGAGAAACGATTTAAGACCAAAAGAAGTACTCATATTATTCATAGAAAATATATTCATTTAGAATAGGAGGAAAAAAAAAGTAAATCACATTACAACTTTTTAATTGTTCAAACAAGATAATATTGGGCTTTGGTTTTGTTATAATATTCACATATATGATGTGATCATAAACAAAGTACAAAAAAAAAAAAAAAGGAAAGAAGAAATAATGGTAATTAAGAAGTGATACATCATGATAACTCTATTAAGAAGGACCTTGATAACTGCCCTAATCTCTACAATATCAAAGAACCATTGTCAAAAGAACCTACAACTTGCTGATATTAAGTTTTTTCTTTAATGGCTTAATGAGGTCCCAAAGCACTTTTTGGAATGAGTTAAACCATTACCCAACTCTAATCCTACTCGAGAATTACAACATTGAGGTTAGGCATGATGCAGCAAAGAAGTCAAAATTTTCTTTAAATATAAACCATATATCACGGCCATGCAAAAAATAAAATAAAACCCAATTTATAATTGCAATATTACTCTAAAACTACTGTTTTCAACTAGTTAGATCATTTAGTGCTCCATTAAATATTATCTAAAACAAAATTATGTAAAAATAAGCTAAAATTTACCCCAAAAATCGAAAATCAAGAACATTTAATAGAAAAAATTTTTTTTGATAGGTTCCTCAAATTTTGTTACATGAAGCCATGCATACCCTTTTCCTGTTGCAAGAGAAAGACACATTTAATTCAAAAAAAAAAAAAAGGATAAAAGAACGTAGCTTTCCTCGTACCTCGAAGAGGGATATATTGTAAGTAGTAGTGGTACTGGTAGTAGTTCTTTTCATTCATGTCCAGAAAAAGGCAATTTAGGCTCCCTAGTTTAAAATCATGAGGAGATGAGCCCCAATATTTCATCGAAGTTAAGAGCTCCAGGTCTGCTACTATATTGCAATAAACAATCTAATCGACTATCAACCAACGTAGACAATGGCAAAAAAAAAAAAATCATGCAGAGACAGTCAACCGTAAAGGAAACAAAAGGGGTTCATTGCCTTCGGCCCCTAATTACAATTAGCATTAAAATTAATCAACCTTTTATATTGATTTTTTTTGGAGATTAAGTGTTAGTTTGGTATTATTCTTATGCTTGAAAAAAGTTTTGAATTAAAAAAAGTGTGATTAGAAATTTTAAATTTATTAAAAAATAAATCGACAAAATTAAAAACCTTTACGCATAAAAAAAGAAAATGTTATTTTTAAAAAATATTTGCGGTAAATATTTTATTATAGTAAAAGTTGGATGCGGCATGGTGAAACCCTTTCTGCAAGCGGCTGTGCTGCACGTTTGTGGACTAAGGCCGCCGTCGGTACCTGTTCATAAACATAATTAATTATTCATTATTAGTGTTAAAAATCCAACAATTATCGGCCGCTAATTTCACGCCGTTTGCACGTGAGGTCACTTTGCTCCAGGGTTAGTAAAGTCATTTTCTAGTTAGGCACGATCATGATTTTGTATTATAAAATAAGTAAACAAGTATCGTTATTAATTAAAAATATAAAGATCTAAGTTTTTCATTCATTGAATCTTAGTACATACAAATTAAATGAATATAGCTAGAGACACAATTTTCCTAATTTTATGGTACTCGTTCATGTCAAAGTGTTGAATTTTTCTAATTTGCGACAGAATTGTGGTCTTTCTTTGCTTTTTTTACAGCTTATTTTTTTATACACTTGCATGTTATAAAGTGTGTTAATCATGAGGTTGAATAATTATAACACGAACTACTATTATCTTTCAAATTTTTTCTAAAGTAATAGGAATGAATATATATAATCAATTAGTGATACCTAATTGTCGTGTTGTTTTTATTGGTTGATATAAAATTTTTGTCGATACTTAAAGATTACGAGTTTGATAAAACTCATGCCAATAATATTTTTTTTAACTAAATAAATATAAAAGTTAGAGGGTTATGGGTACATTTGAAAACTAAAAAAAAAAAATCTTAGTTATTGCAAAGGTTAGTAGATTGGCTTTTGTGGATTAATTTAGAATTGCATTATGATTTTTTTTTTCTTTTTATTCATTGAGATATTAGAGTCGAAGGGTATTATTTGTACAAATTTTGGTTTTAGTTAAAATCAAGAAAAAACTTAGTCGTCTCTAATTCCTTTAAATTTTGCATTGAAGTGATAAATTTTTTTATGAAAAAATGATCACTATATAGTAGTAATAAATTGTCCATTATCGACTCATTATTAGCTTTCTTAAGAGAATTAAAGATATATTTAAATGACTAAATACCCCATCACTCTCATAGGTAATCTTTTTTAAATTTAGCAACGAAAATTTAGTATTTAAGTTTATTAACTATTCCATGAAATATTTTTTTTTTTAGTTTCTTAAATTAACTTCCTTTGGATGGTCATTTTGATCAATTAAAATAAGAAAAATCTCACTACCTATCCCTTTTACAAATCAAGAGACTAACTATTGAGATCTGTATTTAAATTGCAAAATATTATTAGTTTTAATTTGAAAATCTTACAATTTTATTTAATAAAAAGTGTTTCACAAATTTGAATTTAAATTTTTACGTATATATTATACTAAATTCACATATTCTTTCAATGTGAAATTTGAAATGTCATAATATTTCCCCTTAAAGCTGAATGTCTTCGTAAAGTCCAGTCCAATTACAAAACTAATATTACACCCAATGTTAAGATTATATAAGTGGTTCTTTACCATCTAAAGTACTTAATAACTCTTACGATTCTATCATAAAACACTTATATTTTATTAATTAATTATACTCTAATATTATTTATAAAGATTTATAATCAACTTACGAAATATTATTTATTTTGATTGAAAAATTTTATAATTTTATCTCACAAAAAACGTTTTATAAGTTTAAGTTTAAATCTCTCTATATATATTATATTATATTTACATTTTCTTTTAATATGAAATTGAATACATTACAATAATCCATAAAATTAAAAACAAAAAAACAATTTAAATGTGAGTATGATAAGAAATCATCACTTAAACCAAAAAAAGGGTTAATTTAAAAAAAGAATTTCATCACACATGAAAAATACATTCCAACAAATACATAAGCTTTTGTTTCATTCTATTTTTCAATCAATAATTAAAATGTGAACTTAGTCAAATGAAAAATACACCAACATATTATTTTCATTATTCATGCATGTAGTCACTTGATTTTTCATTGAAATAAACCTAGTTCCACTACATATAACATCAAAGGTGTTGACCTATATGCTTGAAATCGAAGCGTGTTTGATTTTAATGTAGTTTTTTTTTTTAAAATATATGTAAAAAGAAATTGTGAAACGTGACTTCGAGTCCAATGATACAATGATTACATCAAGAATTTTGAGAAGAATACGAGGCATTGACGACAAAAAATAGTGTGGGATTCTTATAATGATCTCATGACAGCCAATTCTTTCACCGACGGATTTGGTATTCGTCACAGATGTTAAGTGATAGCTCTGTCTGTGATAGTTAAAGAAAACGACAAGGGTGACGCTTTTTTTTTCTTTCTTGTTTTGGAATTAGATTGCTTCTTATATTAGTAGATAAAGAAAATTAAAAAAGAGTGAAAAATCAATCTCAATAACAGGAACAGTCAGAAAAAGTACTAGCGGGTTTTCCGGTGCAAGGACGAATAAGGAAAAGCAGATGCTGTGCCACGTGGGTAGAATAGTGAGCGTACGATGGACATGCAACGGCAGAGATTCAAACCTTTTGTTGAGAAGATTCATTGAAACTGGAACAGAACTGTAGAGAAGTGCCCAGAGGGCAGAGACGCATTTTCTTTCATTTATCTTTCTTTTTTTTTTGTCTCTCTCTTACATTACTCAACAAAAACCAGACTTACAACAATTTTTCTTTTTGTTAGAATTTAGACAGAGATAGAAAGACAAAGACAAAGACAAAGATAAAGCGTTAGCTGGTTTTGTCATAAATGAGGTGAGAGTGAAGCAGAGAGGGGGGTGCAGTTCTCATGGCGGCGTTGCAGGGGCTCTAATTCCGTGCTATTATTGCTTGGAATTGAAGGAAGAGGGAGAGAGAGAGAGAGAAGAGTGTCGGGGGATCAGTCAAGGGAAACCATCCCTGTTTGTGTGTCTTAACCTCAAAAGCTGCAAGAAAAAAAAAAAAAAGATAAACACCTAAACTCCCAAAGATCACAAAAGAAAAACAGGCTGTTCTACTAAATTATAGTCATTAAGGGTGAGGAGTAAAGGGAGGGAGGGGTCGGTCAGGGTCAGACATAGCAGAAACAACAAAGATCGGGTCAAAACAAAGCCCCCAACAAACAGTGGTCTTTAAAAACTCACCAGAAAAAGCTTCCACAGTTGAAACTCATAAAGACCCCAGGGAAAATCCAACCAGCTCATAACACTAGTGATCTGGGTGTGTGGGGTGGGGGTACTAAATAGGGTGTATCTGCTATGGATTTTTGGTCCAAATTGAGGTTGGTTTCAGCTTTTGGGTGTAACAAATGGCTGGCTTCTTCTATCTAGGCGGACGAGAAGGAGCTGCAAACAAACAAGAAGGAGAAGATAAAGAGGAGAACCTGTATTTGTACAGAAACGAGGAGATCTACAACAAAGGGTTTGAGATATGGCCACAGTATTATTACCAACAGCAAAACGTGAATAATTACTCGTTTGGAGCGGGGCCTAGTCGAAGAACAAGCGGCTTTAACCTCTCTGATGAGTCGTCTTCGAGATCAGCAGGTTTTTCGGTTTTGAGACAAGGAGGCATGAACTGTCAAGATTGTGGAAACCAAGCTAAGAAAGATTGTGCCCATTTGAGATGCAGGGCTTGCTGCAAAAGCCGAGGGTTTCAGTGTCAAACTCACGTTAAGAGTACTTGGGTTCCTGCTGCTAAAAGGCGAGAGAGGCAACAACAACACGCAACTTTGCAACAACAACAGCAGCAGCAGCAGCAAAATCAACAACAAGAACACCAACAACAGTTTCGAGGAGATAATTCAAAAAGGCAGAGAGAGAATCAAGGTCCTTCCTCTCTTGCCTGCACTCGTTTATCCCCCACCACGTCAGGTAAAGTTGTTTATAGTACAAACAAAGACAAAACCAGAACAAAACACACCCAAGAAAACAAAAAGAAACGAACATCAAAGCAAGATTGATGAATTCTTTGAAAGGTCTACGATGGAGAAATTTCAAGAACCGTATATTGCAAACTTAGCCAGACAAAGTTTAATTTGGTAAGATCTTGAAGAATTCCAATGACTTCTAGCAGTACTAGTACCCCAACAAGACCGTATCATTTGCGTGACCCAGCCCACCTCCATAGCCACCCACCCACCTGCTTTTCCTTTTCTTTTCTTCCTTTTCCATCAATTCTGCCACTGTTTGCTGGTAAAACTGACGAAAAAGTCCCATAATATTCGGAAAAAAATTCAAAGAAAATCCTCTTTCTTCTTTCTTTTCATTTTAGTAAGTTTGATTTTTTTGAGCTCTTGATTTATTTTTTTAATCTTGTTGGACTTTAAAAATTAGGGTTGGAACTGGGTCAATTCCCTCCAGAAGTGAGTTCTCCAGCAGTCTTCCGATGTGTAAAAGTAAGCGCTATGGACGATGTAGATGAGGAGTTCGCTTATCAAACGGCTGTGAATATCGCAGGGCATGTATTCAAGGGAATTCTTTACGATCAAGGCCCCGAAAGTCGTTACACCAGTGGCGGCGAAAGCTCTCAGCAACTCAATCTCATCACAGAGGCAGCAGCTACCACTGCAGATGCTGCTACAACGACAGCCGCTGCTACTTCGAGCAATCCAGGCACAAGTATGCTTGACCCTTCCCTTTATCCAGCTCCACTCAACGCTTTCATTGCTGGTACGCAATTCTTCCCACCTGCAAGGTCTTGATTTACAGGCCTGTCTCCAATGTTCCACTCTCTCTTATAGTACCCTTCCTTTTAAACAAAACTTTCATTTGTCAGAAACGACTCTAGATTGTTGGTCTCTAGCTCATTGTTATTGGTGCTCCTTTTTACTACTCGTATGTTCAATGCTAACACCCATCGAAGTAGAAAGCATAGAATTTGAATGAGAATAGAAATCAAGGATGCATATGATATTGGAGGATGTTGGTTTTTGTTTTTGAATTTCAATTCAGAATTTCACTGTTGTTTTTTATTCGATCTATGAGTATTAGTCCTCTATTTTTTTTAAAATTTTTTCGATTGGAGTGTACTTAGTGTAGCATATGAATGTGTGCTTTTTTGGTGGGAATTATTTTTTTGTTTCTTATTGGATTTCTTTATGGATTTTTTTTCTTACTTTTTGTGGGTTTAATCGATCTTGAATCTGCTTTCTGGTTGGTGTTGAACTCGAAGCAGCTTTTTTCGATTTATCCCTTTGCTTGCCGGATGGAAGTGGGACGAGAAGAATGGGTTTCGTGTTCGGCTAAGCAAAGAATTTTTAAACCCTTTTTTTTCTTTAAATTTTGTAACTCTCTCTAAACAGTGAAAGAAAAAAAAAAAGGAAGTGCATTAAGCAGCTTTACAAGTCTTTCATGCATCGGCAAATGAAAACCTGGCAATCAATTTCAAACTGCAAAATTATGAAAGCCCTCCTCCTCCTCCTCCTCTTGTCTCCCTCTCTTTCTTTTTGAGAGAGAATGTAAGTACGTACATCCACAAGCTTTTTTATACGTGAACAAATTCAGTTTTATTGGGCATTTACTCATCTCTGCAAAGAAAATCAAATTCATCCACTTGAATAGACGTGCATGGATGTGACCTTCTGCTGGAATTGAAACTGTTGCTCATTAGCCAATAATTTTTAATGCTTCTCTGCAACTATGTGCATGTGATTTATGCTATATTTAGTGTGAGACTAATGATATTAGGCTAAGGTACGAATGAGTTAATGGAAATCTAGAGACATGCTTCCGTTTGGTAGGCTTCTAGAATTATCACATGTGAAAGAAACATAAAGATTATGAAACTTTCCAAAGTTTTGTAGTTTCTGACTCGAAACATGTGCTCTGATCATCTTCAGTCATGAAGAAGTTGCACCCTTAACTGATGAGACTCCTTTGATCGGCTGTTGTTTTCGCTTTTTTTTTTGTTTTATTATCATTTGAAGTAATGAACTATAAGGGAGGAAGATGATCATGTAGGCTATGATCTTATGCTGGTACTAATCAGAAATTATCAAAGCATTTTGACAAATTGGAACTTTAGTGGATGGTTTTGTTATCATGCAGGAAGTCTTTAATTAGGGAGTTGGAGATTCAAAGATTTATTATTATCATGGAGGGTTTAAGGATTCATCACCTAATTGAACAAGGAATTGTAGATGTTCGAATCTGCTGATTCTTCATGATTTGTAGATGTTCGAATCTGCTGATTCTTCATGACCAAGAAATGAATACTAGCTAGCATTAATTATCCCCATGGCTGAAGCTTAAATCTACAAATAGGAAAAACAATCTTAGATTGTAGGGAAAATAAAATTATAGGAAAAGAGATTCATGCAGGATTTTAATAGATAAGCAAGAATATTATATTTGTCATATACAACCCAGTTTTAGTCCCAGAAGCATCATTTTTTTTCCTTACATCTTCATTATTTTCCCTTCCATCCCCATTTCTTTATCCTCCAATGTTCTAAAGATAGAATTACACGTCTCGTTTTCTTAAGCTAAGACTGGCCAAGAATCCCTAGCGAACCTTTGCAATAGTTCATAGGTTGTTGAACTCATGGCAGAAGCTATTCGAATCTCAACATTAATATATACCGAGAAAAAAAAAAAAAGAAGGAATAGGCTTAGACAAAGGGAAGAGCGAGAAGCTGTCTAGATTCTCAAATCACTGATGAAATCTAGGCTAACTGGAGCAAGTATCTTGAGGCGGAAAGCTGCTCCCCAAATAAAAAAGGGTTTTGAATAAAACAAAATTGACAGAAAAAAAAAGGCAGATTTGCTCCACAACTATGGACATTGCATCATTTCCATTAACATGAAAGATAAGAGTGCAATTTACTTTACTGGATCTTTGTCATTTATTAGCGACAATATAGCCAATAATTTGACAGTTTTTACCAGGTTTTCTGTTGTTTTCACCACTTAAGTACTTGTTGAAAGCAAATGCTCGTCGAAACCAGTTTTTAACTTTCTCACGGATGATTATGTGAAGGTTAGAACTTAGAACAGTATCACGCGTGAGTTTCTATTGGTCTTGTAATTGAGTTCACTCTATTCCTTTTCTTTTATTCTTTAGTACTATCCGTTTTTGGACTATCTTTAGTGGGGTTTCTGTCATGAGTATGGTTCAGCATATCAATCAGTGCCTCATTTGGATGGCTTCAGTGAAAAATGATTTTATCGTGTTATTAAATCCTTTTAATATGAGATCCTAAAGCCTAAGAAATTACGATACTAATTTATACTATAATTCGCTACTTATCCTATTTTAAATTTAAAAAATTATATATAATCATATTGAAACATTATCGAACATCAAAATACTTATTGGTTAATCGAAAAACTTAATGAATGTCGCAGTTCTAATTATGGCAGGATCTAATCAAGTTAGGGAAACCTATATATGTACTCGACAAAAGTCTAAAAATTGCACTTGGAATGTCGTTTTGCTAGGAAACTCATAGTGGGTTGATTCATTTTCTTTACCCTTGGCCTTTTCCAGTGACAAAGTTGAAATCGAATATCCCTCGAGTTATTACAAGTAGATCTTGATAATTACTACAAATTTTAGTTCCTCACGCATAAAATTCGTAGCAGAAATTGAACATTGCTTATCTCAATGAAAACTATTTGTTTTCTTGAGCTACATTTCACCTGCCTCTTTTAGGAGTCCATAGAAACACTGGCTGATATAGCATTGTATCTCCTTTTATTAATAAAATTCTATTTTACTTTTCAAAAAAAAGAAAACCAAACTCGAATCGTTTGAAGAGAAATTTTATTGAGAGTGACATTGCAGATTTGATGTCATGATATTCCATGATGTTTTGCATACATAATTAGACATATGTATATTTCAAATAAACGGATGGAAATAATGACAAAATAATAGTCTATGGGACAATTGCTAGGAATATTTGAGAGAATTAACAAAGCTATTTTGTTAGCAAACTCATTTTAAGCAAGGCAATGGGTAAAATTTAATAGGGTGCGGTGCCCCACCTACCTTAAACTAAGTCGGACGAAATATTTATGATTCGCCGTTTTAGATCCCAAGGCCATTTCTCAACGTTAAAAGCTGCCCAAACTTAATTGATTCTGTATTATAGTATTAATTTTTCTGTCGTTTTAGATTGTTACATAATTATTTAACTGCGCCAATTTTGTCATGTTTCCCCCCCTTTTTTTTTTTTTTACCTTATGTTTGGATACATATAAATAAAAAAAAAAAAGAAATAAAAAATTTTTAAAGAAAAAAAGGTATATTTTATTTGAATAATTAAAATTAATAAAAAAAATTTTAACAATCATTGTTTCGATAAATAGTGAAAAAAAATTAATTCATTATAATTTTTTTTCAATTATAACTTTTTTTTAAAAATAACTTATAATATACAAATATATCTTTATACTACATAATTTGTATAAATAAATATTTTTAAACAAAATTGAGTATATTTAATATAATAAGATGTATTAGTTATTTATTTTGATAATAATTTCGTTTGTTTTATTGTTAAGACTTGAAAAATTATAAAATATTTATAAACTATAATGTTATATAAAATACTCATAAAAAAAAATTATTTTTGTATGAAATGTTAGTTATATAATCAAATTTAATATAATAATAAAAATATGGATATAATAATTTTTTTATAAAAATAAAATTTTTTTAACTTTCATTTCCTTAATTTTTTCCTTAAATTGGGATATTAAAAAAATGAAGATTATAAAAGAAACTAAAAGTTATTGAGTTTTCACCTATTTTGTTTCCTTTAAATTAAAAATTTATCTAAACAAAAAAAAGATTTTTCTGTTTTCATTATTTTCCTTTATTTCTCCTTTTCCTCGATCCAAACATAGTGTTAAATTGTACAATTTTTAGAATGTTAATATTTATGTTTAATTCAATTGATTTATATAATTATCTTTTTAAATATAATATTTAATAAATTTAAAATTCAAATTATAGTATCAACAAATTCTCCCCTTATTTTTAGATATTGACTTCTTTTATTAAAAAAATAAAACTATAAAAGAATTAATATGAGTTACGATTTTTCAAATTGATTGTTTATTCAAGTGTTAAATTCTATGTACGATTGAGAAGTAGTTAACGAATATTAATTACCAATTGAGTTCACGACAAAATTAAAATTTGAAATTGGCAAATTTGTAATAGTGATGGTGTTGTGCTTCTCGTGTTCTCAAAAAATATTGGGGTTAATGATTCCATTCTAGCTGAACTTCTGGCGGTAATTGAAGCTCTTTCAATTGTAGCAAATGCAAATTGAATTGATCCCCGAATTAATCGTTGAAAGTGATTCGTAAGCCGTCACATCTTTTATATATAAGGGTAGCTCCAGTCTTTGGAAATACAATTATCTCCTTAACAAATTGTATATTTTATACTCTAGAGTGAGTAAGGTTTTTTTTTTGTTCATATTTTTAGAGAGACCAACTACTTTGTCAATTCATTGGTCAAATTGAGTGTGAACAAGAGGTATAATCGATTGAGTTTGAGTCGATATAATATTAAATTTGAGTTCGAGTTTAATTTTAAATTTGATACTTGAAACTCAATCGAGTTTTATTTTTTAGCTCGAACTCAATTTTGAACTCGCTTAATTAAGCTTGATTAACATGTAAAAATAAACTTGATTCTTACATTCGATAATAACTTGATTATTTATATTATAACTCGAACTCAAATTCAAGATATTTTATCAATTAAAATAATTAAAATATATTAAAATATAAAAATTTGATTAAGCTCACAAATAATTTGAGTCAAATATAAGAATACTCAAACTTGATTCAATTGATAAATAAAGTTACTCAAACTCGAGCTTGACTCGATATTAATTAAATTGAATTCGAATTTTATTCGAATCAAACTCGAGTAATTTACGAATACTAATATATCATTTATATTCTAATGTTAACAAAAAAAACAATCTTGTAACTTGGATGTAATTTTTCTGCCAATAATATTTGCTTTTAAATGTCTTTGAAGCAAATTCATTATAATAAGCACGACAGTCTAATCCCATTTTTACATGTTTTATTATATATTTGACTTTTTATAATATTTATTTTTAATTTTTTTATCATTCAACGTGGATATAATCTTACATTAAGGGAGAAAAGGTTGAAGGTTGAAGTTTGAACCATAATTTTAATGTCTTTTTAAAATTGTCTCGACTGCTAAACAAAATAATTGAAGGCATGTTTATTTTTATTTTTAA